GAGAGAGGGAGAGAGAGAGAGAGAGAGAGAGAGAGAGAGAGAGAGAGAGAGAGAGAGAGAGACGAGGAGTAAGAAGAAGAAGAAGACGAAGACGAAGAAGAACCGGAGGACGACCCAAAGGAGGTGGAGGATGACGTAGAGGAGGAGGTTGAATAGGAGGCGGGTGGAGGCACACACACTTACCTGGAGATGGCGGTGCAGATGCAGGGGCTGGAGTGTCGCGTCCTCGCAGGCGCACACACGTGCCCGTCGTCGAGTGGCCGGCTGGAATAGGGAAGCGGGGCCAGGGCTGGGGTGGCGGCGGATGCGAGCGGGCGGTACCCCCCCCCCGGTTCAAATTTGAAATTCAAATTTGAAATTTGCCCGATCTGGGCCGTCGATCGGATCGATCCGACGGCCCAGGTCGGGCCTTAATGCTTTCAATTTTCGTAGGCCCTGCTGGCCTCGGATTGCGGGGACCGAGGTCCAGCAGGACCCCCCACCTAGACAACCACCATCCCCCACCCCCAGCAGGCCCTTAGAGGCCCGGCCCCTATTTTACGCAGGGGCCGGACCACTGGTCCAGTGGTCCGGTCGGACGACCCGGACCTCCCGGGGTCGCCCGGACGTCCGATAAAACAACCTAGTATTTTCCCCACTTTTTCCCCGCCAAAAAAATCCTTGTGAAAAGGAAAACAAAAAAAAAGAAACGTTTCATTTTTTTTTCGATTTTTGAATTTCTGTATCTGTTTTCGATTTTTGTTTAATATACTCTGCCTACGGTTTACCGGGCAGTTCTATTTGACGATATATAAAGACAGAAAAATAAATAAAAAATAAAGGGTTGTAGATCATCTCTTCGAGATCTACAACCCTATTTTTCTATTTTTATTTTTTCTCATTCTTTGTTGATGAAAAAAATATCTGCGGGTGGCGTTGATATGTGTCAAATTGGCTGTTCTACACCAGTTCAGCGCAGAGTCAACGCGCGTAAAATTATTTAACTCGGACCCTGCGTTGAATCCAAATCCAGACACTCAGGGCCTAGGATTTTCGCAGAGGTGAGGCAGTCCTTCGGTATTTGCGCGGGTCGTTAGCTGGGTGCGGGGATAGAGTCCCCGACCATTGCTCACCATTGTGCATTGAATTACTGTGGTAGCCCTTCTTTTTTTTTTTCTTATAGTTTTAATAGAGAAAATATTCAATTGCGTGTAAACAGGCAAAATATTAGTCCAATTAGAGTAATAACTAAAGGTAAAATTAGTACTATTTCATTGCAAAAAAGAATCGAATTTACTTAGCTACTGAAAAATTTGCAATTAAGTAATACAAATCGTTTTTTAGAATCATGGTTATTTCACTACACAAAATATAGTAGCCGACAAATTTACGTGACCAAATTTTCCAACTCTGGCAAGCCACACGCGAATGCTTTTTCAACAGACAAGCATCTACAAATGGACCTTTCCATATAGATCGTGACATAACTTTTTTGAAAAAGACTACCCGTGGGAGCTAGGGGTGTTGGTATGAGCAGACACCTCTATCTCCCCCGGGGAGGCTCCATCTATTCGTGGGGAGTAACACCTGCTGGAAATCGGGTCCAGAGTCCCTTACACGACATTCGTTACGGTCTCGCTGCATTGTTCCTGAACGCCTGCCAGCATTGATTACCCTGAAGACAGGGGATTGACCGAGCAGGAGGATGAGTGTGCATGTAGGGGAAAAAGGGGCCTCTTCATCTCTGCTGCGGGACGCCTGAACTATGCGGCCATCTAGCCCCCATCCTTCCTTGCGAACGCAGCTCACTCTGTTCCATACCACTGGAGGTCCACCATTGAAGCCCTTCTCGAAGGTGGCTTTTGGTCTTTTGGGCAGGTGACTTCATTCGGATTGTGATAGCCTGCACGAGACTCCCAAGGGTGTACTGAATTACTGGGGTAGCTCTTGATTTTATCAAGGGTGGCTTTTGGCCATTTTGGCGGGGCAACTTTTTTTGGATTTCTGGTTGTGGAGATGGTATGGGAGATGCTTGAAACGACAGCGCCCTGGCCCTGGAACTGGAGGGTCCTGCTGTGTGAAACCTGGCCCACAGACCAGACAGATGAATTCACCTGTAACATGTTCAAACTGGGACAAAGGGCGGTGCTCTGGGCCCTGTGGAGGAGACTGTACATATGAGATGGAAGCGGCGAGGCTGTAGGGGCCCGACTTCAGGGAAACCATACAACAACAGATTCAGACGGAAATAATCACACAATGGGAAAGAACTAAATCACAAATACGGTATCCTCATATGCGGCAAGAGATAAAACAGAAGATACTAGAGTTTTCCTCAAGCTGGCACGGGGGGCAAATGGGGGAAGGATAGGGGAATCAGAATGGAAAGGGGAACAGAGTGAACAAGGGGAGGATCAAAGGATACTGGGTATGGCAGGCGACTCCCGGTTGCTGTTCCATGAGTGGACTAAGATGGATGCCTCCATCCCGAAGAAATCCGCCGAAGACTTCCCTGACCCCTTCTCCCCCCCATCAAAGAAGCATGGCAGGGATGGATTGGTATGAATGGAGAGTCGCATAGAGCAGGGAATGGTGGGTGTCTCAGGCAAAAGAGCAGGAAAAG